CTGGGGGATTCTGGGAGTTGAAGTCCACACATCTTAATGTGGCCAAGGTTGAGAAACCCTGGATTAGAGCTTCCTGGGGCAATTCATGCCGTTTGAAGATAACGGTTTGGCTTTCGTTGGCCCCGAACCAAAAATGACTCACTCCTGCTTGTGTGAACCAAGCCTCAGGGTCACCTCCGCTTGTCCCTTGCCCTCTGCTTCGCGGCAGCGGTGAAGACTGGTTTTGGGTGGGGAAGAAAGAAATGGCCATTGGGACCGGTGAGGATGAGGAAGGATGTAGAGGAGAATCTGTCTCCCCAAATTTGAATCCAACCCCCCCCCCGAATGCTTCGATTGGAAGAGATGGGGTTGCCTTCCGGCCGATGCAGACACCAGTATAATCCGATTAAGCTACGGCGGCTGAATCTGTTCTTGGATGTTGTGCCTTTATTTTCCAACCGTCTCCCCGCCGGGCGGGCCACGCTGCCCCCCTCCCCAGCTCAGTCGAGGGGTCCCTGGAAAATGAGGCGGACAAAACCCTGCTGGCCCGTCAGCCAGGTGCCGCAGAAGGGGCAGGCTGCGTGGAAGGCGTGTGTGCCGTGGGGCAGAGGGATCTGCGACCAGTACTGGACAGTCTTGGCGGAGCAGACGTGGCCGCAGGGGCAGAAGGCGTGGGTGGGGCGTCCGGCGTCCAGATACAGCCCTGCCTCGCAGCCCAGCCAGAGAGGCACGTACGGGCCCAGCCTCCGACACATGGGGCACTCGCGTTCCAGGCTCCCTTTCTCCTTGCGAAAGCCCCAGTTGTGGAAGCCGTGGACGTGGCCACAGTTGACGTAGACCCAGGGCTGCTGTTTCTCCACCACGCCCCGCTGGGCCAGGCTGGGGAACGCCAGGGTGCTGAAGCCCACTGGGCACTGGGGCCGGGCAGCGTTGATCTCTTGGCGCAGCACCTCCAGCTGCTGCAGGGTCGGCGTGCGCAGGAGGCCCTCCGAGGTCCGCCACAGCAGCGTGGCTCCACAGAGGTCGATCAGGGAACCGTCCTGGAGCACGTTCGACTCCAACTCCACCTAGCAGGGAGGAAGAGAGATCAGGTTGCGCCATGCCAGAATTTGCCCTTTGATTCCCCGAAGAGTTGCATGCAAGGAGAAGCAGGGTTAGTTTTAAGTGAAGTTTTATTTAGCTGGGTTTAAGTTTTAAGTGAAGCTTTGTTAAGCTGGGTTTAAGTTTTAAGTGAAGCTTTGTTAAGCTGGGTTTAAGTTTTAAGTGAAGTTTTATTTAGCTGGGTTTAAGTTTTAAGTTAAGTTTTATTTAGCTGGGTTTAAGTTTTAAGTGAAACTTTGTTAAGCTGGCTTTCAGTTTTAAGTGAAGGTTTATTTAGCTGGGTTTAAGTTTTAAGTGAAGCTTGGTTAAGCTGGGTTTAAGTTTTAAGTTAAGTTTTATTAAGCTGGGTTTAGCATCTCATGTTTCTCCTGAGCCTTACATCTGGAGAAACGTTGGAGCTCTGTTATGCCGAAGAGATGTTCCACTCCCCTTGAGTTATCGTCCCTCTCTTGGATGTTCCTCTCCGCAGAGTTGCCAACCTACCAGCTTTCCCCGCTGCTGTGCGGAGCGACTGTCACGCAGAGCGTAGACGTTCCCGCACACCGAGATCTCCCGCCAGACCCCTGGAGTGGAGTCTTCGGAAAAGCCACCGTTGGGGTGCATCACAAGCACGCCGTTGGTGGTCAGCCCGTCCATGAGCCCGTCTGGAGTCCTCCACTTGGCAGCCCTCTCCTGCCAACGAGAGAAGAAGCATCAAGGTCCCGTTTCAGCGTCCAGGTTGGTAACGGCCCCACTGCTCAGAAGGGGCTTCTAACACAACCCCGTCTAGGGCAAAGACACCCGGCAATTTCTAACTAAGGAGTTGTGGCTGGTTCTTAACCACCTCACTGCTGGAAGGTCGGTGGAAAGAACATTTTAAAAATTGCCATCCTAACCTACGTGGGAATAATTTGGTTCTAAATGGCCAGTTGTTCTTGCACTTACAACTGTCGCAGCACCCCCGTGGTCACGTGATCGCGATCCAGGCACTCGACAACCAGCTCGCACTTGCGACGGTTGCAGCATCCTGGGGTCATGCGGTCGTCGTTTGCGACCTTCCCAGCCGGCTTCCAGCAAGCAAAATCAATGGGGAACTGCATGATTTGCTTAATGACCACATGATTTGCTTAACGGCTGTGGTGATTTGTGTAATGACTGCTGCAAGAAAGGTTGTAAAATCAGGTATGACTCGCTTAACAACTGCCCCGCTTAACAACGAATCTTCCTGTCCCTCTTGTGGTCATTAAGCGAGAACTACCTGCAAGCATCAGGTCTGCAATTAATTTAGCGCAGCGATGTCTTTCGGTCCCAACAGAGATCCCACAGCTTGGAGGGAGGGGGGGTAATGAACTCTTCAGGTTCTTTAAGCCTGGCCGTGCCTGGTTGTGGCAGCCATTTTGTGAATGCACCTACAACGTGCCCCCGACATACCAATATGCCCCACTCTGCCAAAACAGACCCCTCCCCTGGTGTAAGTGCATTACGTCCAGTCAAAAAGTTCGTTCTCTCCCTCGTTTTGCAATGGATTACAAACCCAGAGTTTACACAGCATGCTTAACGTGGGTAAGAAATCAGCCGTTTTCTGAGTGGGCACACGCAGCCCATTTGCAGTTTGCTGACCCTGACCGAGGTTAGCACCCGTTGGGTTTCTCCGCAAGAGCAAATGCTTCTGCTAGATCTTGACCTGGGTGTGTGAATGCCGTACAAACCTTTAGTGTAAATCTTAAACAGGCCTCCAAATCCCCCGCCGCGAAACCAAACTAACCATGATAGAAAATATTAGCAAATGGAGGTGTTAGACTGGTCTGATGAGTGGGTGAGAAGATTTGGCCAGGGTAGTGGCTGACCAGTTTAACGATAACCCAGATAACTTGAGGATACGTTGATACTTGGCCTGGAAGGAAGCCTGGGGTGGGCATCAAGTCATGTACTGTGGTAGGGCAGAAAAAAATCCATCCAGGTGCCAGGCTTAATGCATTGTGTGAATGCGGCTGTGCCAACCTGCACATGCGTGTGCGCCCACGCATACACGGAGCGCCTTGGTGACTCACTCACTCCAAGGAAAATGTTGCGGGAAGCGTCGAAGCCAGCAGCGTAAATCCGGGCAGTGTATGGAGGGTTCCTCTCACAAATGACGCGACAGGCAAAGCGTGAAATTGTACTTTGGGCCGACTGTCCGTCCACGGAGGAGTTGGTCCCCGGGGTTGTGTCTGTCACCACAAAATCAATCATGCTCTCCGTAGAGCGGCCAATCTGGCAATAGAGGGAGGGTGTGGAGAGATGTATTAAACGATTCAAACTTAAAAACACGAGGTGGATGTCTCTCTTGTTTCCTTAACACTGACTTTATTTGCCTCTTGGGGTCAGTGCTCAGATGGACTTCTGTTTCTGTCTTTAAATTATCTCGCTGCAGTGGCTCTGGGTGGCGTACAAAATTAAAAACAACCCTTTAAACCCTCAAACCAGTGTTTCTCAACCTTGGCAACTTGAAGATGCGTGGACTTCAACTCCCAGAATTCCCC